AAAATTTTTTATAGTCTTAATAAAAAGGTGAAAAACGACAAATAGAGTCGGTTCATTCACAGTTTGTTCCTTTTTAATATTTCCAAAATTTGTGGTTGTTTAAAAATGGACTCTCAGTTAACCTTGCATCAAAGTGGGATCTGTTTCTGTGGCAAGACTCTTTCATTCTTTTGACCAGTTTTGAAACCAGTTCAACCTTGTATCACTGAAGTATTGTGACAACATTATAAAAAGATTGCCTTATCTTGCTTTACTCTCTCTTAACCAACCCCCCATTCCCAGAGAAGGAAAAAAAAGGAAAGAAAATAAAAAGGGGGAAAATAGGGAGAGAGAATGGTAAGAGAAGATATGATTATCCAGTTAGGAAACAAAGAAACAACTTTTGAAGGAAGCAACATACTTGGGTCAGTGCTAGTAATGACAGCAGTCCCACCAAAGTTACAGCTATTTGGAACAGGATTCTTTTGATAGTAGCTATTGAAGGCGTAGGAGGCATGATCATGAATGGTGTTTGGGTTGTAACAACTCTGACCAGGTTGTATTGCTGAACAATCAGCACCCCCATAGCCACATGCGTAATCAATAGCAACTTGCAATGCCGTTTGTGATACACTTTGACTAGCAATGCACCAACTACCCCCCGATGACGGTGGAGATGATTTTTTGGGAGTTTCCATGGCTGGAGAATACGAGTCCGAGGTTGAAGTTGGATTGATAAGTGGAGTTGATGCAGTCGGATTGGAAAGAATTATTGTGGGAACGGTTGTTATAGGGGTGGTAATATCCCTTTGAGTGGTGGAAACTGGGGAATTGAATTTCTTTTTCTCATGGTTCAACTCTCTTGTATGACCTGTCATTTTGGATATCAGGAACAAGATGAAAACTATAAAATTCCCACATTATTGTTTTAGTAATAAAAATAAGCTCATCTTCCTGCGCATTGAACTTCAAATGGAACAGAACAAGATCAAAACTTGGAAGACAGAAAATCTCAGTTGAATTCACCACCATAGAATAATAAGTGCAGTGAAATAAAGGTTGTTCAAGTTCATATTTGCCTGTAGAATCTAGCAAGCCCTGTAAATTCTTGTTTGAGCATATTATAGGAAGATCCAGATCAAAATGAGTGAAGCTGCTAAATTCTCTCTGTCCTAACACGCTGAGTCAACAAAATCAAAATGGTTTACTATATTCTGATCCTAAACTCCCAACTCGAGTTTAAAAAGCAGTTTTAAATTCAGTAACAATCAACAACTGGAACAGTATTCCCGGGAGATCAGGCCATAAAAATGGACAATTTTGAATAATACGACAGAGAACAGTATTTCAATTAATGACCATTTAAGGTTTTGTGGTGGCTACTAGAGAGAAGAAGAGGTACATGCTATTGTCTGTTAAAAGAGAAGAAATAAAGAAAGAAAATTCAAATGGAATGCATTAAATGGCCATAATAAAATTATCTATATATTCGTTTGATCACCATTATAGCCTCCAAATGTACAGAAGAAGTTAATAATAAGTCACCTGGATAGAGAAAATGACCAAGTATGAGGAATATTAGGCTGTATATGACCCATTCATGAGTTCCCAGTCCTCCTGTTCTTCCCCTAATGAGCGGTCTGTTCCTCATCCTCCCACCACTTGTTGATGAAAGCTCCTTAGTTACCCAGAGCTGCTTTTTTCCTGGTTTAAAAATAGAGAGTTGGATATGAAGAGGATCATATGATATTGTTGAGTGGCACTGGCATCATTACCTTGTCGGAAAGTTGAAGACTTTACACTCCTTGTCCTGTAAAAAATATCCATTTCGAAAGTACAAATGCACCCTTTTTCTGTGGGTGGAGAGAGAGAGAGAGAGACATAGGGTGTAGAGGGTGCTAGGAAGAGAAACAGAGGAAGAAAAAGAGAGGGAAATGTAGGGAAGCCCGAGGAAAGTTAAAAATAAGAAAATAAAAGATAAAGATGATTGGAATTTAGTTCTTTAATGTGGGCTGCTTACATATGATTGTTGTTGTAATGATTATTATGATATGTATATTTTTTCCCCTTCTCCTTTCTAGCCACTCCAGCATGGATGTATCTTTTGCCTGCCTAATTATTTCCCTCTGATCCTACAATCTTGACTAACTACAGTTCAATTGATTAATGAATCTTATTTGAAGGACGATGGGTCACCACTAAACCTTCTTTTGATTGAAAATATCCCTTGACAAATATATAACAAGTCCAAGGTAGTTGAAGGAAATTCAGTTAGATCATTAATCCTGATAAAAAAAAATGTTCATACACATACGACAAACACATAAACAGTCTTTGATCAACTCAAAATGGCGCATGGATATTCAAAAAATAACTGCAGAAAAGTTTTTTTAAGGACATCAATATTTCTAAGTTCTAACCAGAGCATGGATATTCAAAAACAGAACCCAAGTAGAAAGTAGTGCGCATTTTGAATGGAAGTCCTCAAGTCAGTCCAAAAGTTTCAAAAATCTAAATGGTGAAAATGATTATAAAGTGGATAGTCTGAAAGTAAATCCTAAGCCTGCGATTTGCACTATAGATTGATTAGAAAGATAAAATAACCATAGCACATGCACATAATGACTTGTATTTCTGGGTGGATGGTGGCCCTCCCTCAGATTGGAATTGGATGACGGAGTTTCTGCCATTGCCACACCACTGTTCCTCCATAGTTTGTATGAGTTCTTCCATTAGAAGATTAGGTAAGACCTCAGGGTCAGAAGTAAAAGAATGTTGGCAAGTGTTTGTGGGCTCCCTTCGCCTTCACCAATTTCGACATCAAAATCGATCTTCGACCGACCTTACATTTCAATGGTTGATAAATATTGCTCCACCATGAGAGACCTGCAACAGATTCATGCACACCTGATCAAATCCGGCCAGGCCAAAGATTCTTTTGCTGCTAGTCGTGTTTTGGCCTTTTGCGCCTCCCCTTTGGGTAATATTGATTACGCCTATTTGGTCTTTCTGCAAATGCAAAACCCTAATCCCTTTTCTTGGAATACCATAATAAGGGGCTTCTCTCAAAGCTCAAACCCTCAATTTGCTCTCTCACTTTTCATCGAAATGTTGGTTTCCTCACAAGTAGAACCGCAGAGATTGACTTACCCGTCAGTTTTCAAAGCTTACTCTCAACTTGGACTTGTCCGTGATGGAGCTCAGCTTCATGGGAGGATAATAAAGCTAGGTCTTCAATTTGATCCATTTATCAGAAACACAATCTTGCAAATGTACGCTAATTGTGGGTTTCTGGATGAAGCCCGGCGAATATTTTACGAGGAAATGGAATTTGATGCTGTTGCGTGGAATTCCATGATTATGGGTGTGGCTAAATGTGGGGAAATTGGGGAGTCGAGGAAGCTGTTCGATACAATGCCCGAAAGAAACCCAATCTCATGGAATTCCATGATTGGTGGGTATGTTAGAAATGGGATGTTCAAAGAAGCCCTGAAGCTGTTTGTCAAAATGCAAGAAGAGAAAATCAAGCCTAGTGAGTTTACAATGGTGAGCTTGTTAAACGCCTCAGCTCACATTGGAGCACTCAGGCAAGGGGAATGGATTCATGAGTACATAGAGAAGAACAATCTAGAGTTGAATCCCATTGTAGTTACAGCAATCATAGACATGTACTGCAAATGTGGTAGCATAGTTAATGCCCTTCAAGTGTTTGAGAAAATGCCCAGCAGAGGATTATCTAGTTGGAACTCCATGATCTTCGGCCTGGCTGTGAATGGCTGCGAAAATGAAGCAATTTTGTTATTCAGAATGCTGGAATCTTCGAGTCTTGAACCAGATTCTGTTAGTTTTATGGCTGTATTAACAGCTTGTAATCACGCTGCAATGGTGGAAGAAGGCAGGGAAATTTTCTCACTGATGATAAACACTTATAGAATCAAACCATCAATAAAACACTACAATTTAATGGTGGACATGATCAGCCGAGCTGGGTTTCTTGAAGAAGCAGAGCAGCTCATAAAAACCATGCCGATTGAGGCAGATGCAATCATGTGGGGGTGTTTACTCTCAGCTTGTAGAACGCGTGGGAACACAGAAATAGCGAAAAGGGCAGCGGAGAAAGTTAATGAACTGGATCCAGAAGAAAGCTGTGGTCATGTTCTTATGGCGAATGTTCATGCTTGGACCAGTAACTTTGTGGGAGCAATGGAGGAAAGGGTTTCAATGAGGATGAAGAATGTGGAGAAAGAACCAGGGGGAAGCCTGATTGAAGTTGATGGTGAAGTTCATGAGTTTATAGCTGGTGGTGGGAGGTTGCATCCTAAAGCTCAAGAGATTTACATTGTATTGGACCAATTGGGAGTGATGCAACAAGACACTGGAAATTTATTGATTAATCTGAAAGAAATGAATCATTTGGAGGTTTAGATTTTTAATCCCTTAATGCTTCACAACATTTTCATCTACTACCCTTTGATGACCTTGGAGTGAAGGTTATATTTTTATTGGCTAACCACCTTTCTTAAAGTATTTGTCAATATTCATTTGATATAATAGAAATAAGAGTTTTTTTTTTTTTTACATAAATACTGCTAATAACTACAGAAATATGCACCTTCAACTTCTATTGTTATGTGTTCTTTTTGTTTGTTTATATATATTTATATTTATATTTATATTTAGTACAACAACGGGAGTGTGGGAATTCGAACTCACAACTTCACGATTAGAGATAGGTGTCAATACCGCTAAGCTTAGCTTATATTGACGCTCATTTTGTTTATACAAAGAATTGATTTACTTTTACTATTTTTTAATAAAACACCCATGGATTTATCTTAAATATGAGTTGATTTAGTATAACAAAGTCTATGATGTTGTGAAAGTTATTATTTTATTTAAAGCATTAACATTAATTGCAATCGCAGTAAAAAAAGAAAAAAAAACCATTAATTGCAATGAACTATTGGAAATTCCATTCAATATCCCTATTTATACGGTGGATTTGAAAAATATCCAAAGGCTAACCCAATAATAATCTCATAATTCAAATTCAGGCCCAAGAAGTTCTGACGTAAGCGGGCAGAGGTTTCGAGCTCAATTGGGCCTGACATAGGCCCAAACATTGTTTAGGGCTCCACCTCCAGGGAAGCGCAGACAGTTGGGTCTGACATTTCAGCCCAAATTGTCTAGGACTCGAAATCCGCGGAAGCACAGACGATTGGGCCCAAACATTGTCTACGACTCCAACACCAACGAAGCAGAGACAATTGAGCCTGACATTTGGGCCCAAACATCTTCTAGGGCGGACCCAGAAGGAGCACAGATAATTGGGCCTAATATTTCAGTCCAAACTGTCTAGGGCTCGAACTGCGGGAGCACATTCGAATGGGCCTGACATTTCAGCCCAAACTTGTCTAGGGCTCCAAAACGAAGAGTCAAATCCTTCCCGTTCGCACACTCTTCGCACGTGCTGTGCCTCCCTCCTTCTCCAGTCTCCACTTCAATTTTCTTTATCAGCAGCAGTTTGTTTCGGTCGCCATTCCAAAGGCAAAAAAATGGTGGGATCAAAAGTTTCATATGCAGACTTGGTTCGCCAATCGAAAAGTAATAACGTTTCAGAAGCAGTGCTTCGCGAGCTCGGCGCCATGCTTTTCGAGTAAGCTTCTTGCCTTTAAACAACTCTTCTGTCTAATCTCTTTCCATCATAACCTTCGCGGTTCTTCCATGAACTTTGAAACTTTCCCAAAAAAATTATATGAAATTAGATTGCGGCTTGCTTTCTTGTCAATAACATTAGGCATTCTTCTGCTCATGCTTTTTTTTTCTGTTTTTTCCCCTCTTGCAATTATATTTCAGTACATCTCCAAATTTCATTAATTATTTACTGTTGAGAATTTCAGATAGCTTGGTCCTCATTTTTGCAAGCTGAATTAAAGAAACGCCAAAGACAGTGAAGCTAAGGAGAGGTGTACAATGTTTTTGTTATCGCGCAATCAATCCCAACAGCAACACCACCTTTTCCATTTATACATTCGAACGTATGTAGACGGCACCATAAAATGGGTTCGAGATCGTGGTCTTGATCATGCTGTTGAGAGAGAGAAGAATCTTCTGCCAGTGATGAACATTAAAGATTTTATAAAATCAGAGCCGTCCAAGTCTGTCCCAGTTTCCATCATAACGCAGAAAAGGGAAGTTCTAAGAATTCCAACGCGCCCCATTGATTTGATCAGAAAATATCCCTCTATTTTCGAAGAATTTCTCCCTGGAGGGATTGGCATTCAACCTCATGTTCGGCTAACCTCTCAAGTCCTTGAGCTTGATGCCGAAGAACAGTTAAGCTATCAAGGCGAAAATTGTAGACAACGAGCTGCAGATCAACTTGTGAAGCTCTTAATGATTTCAAGATTCCACAAAATACCTTTAAGTATCATTGATCAATTGAAATGGGACCTGGGTCTTCCCAAGGATTACGTCCAAAGTATAGTTCCTGATTTTCCAGATTACTTCAAGGTTGTAGGACACCAAAATTTTGCATCTGGATCAGGAGATACGCGAGCGTTGGAATTGGTATGTTGGAACAATGAATTGGCCACCTCAGTTTTGGAGAAGATGGCTGCGAAGGCAGAAACCGGCGTTTCGAAGGGAATGCCTATTAGTTTTCCTATGAAATTCTCGAATGGGTTTGAGATGGATAAGAAGTTCAAGAAGTGGGTGGATGAATGGCAAAAGCTACCTTACATTTCCCCTTATGAAAATGCATCACATCTCTCTCCGAGCAGCGATGAATCGGACAAGTGGGCGGTTGCGATCTTACATGAGCTTCTTCATATGCTCATTGCAAAGAAGATAGAGAAGGAAACTATACTGTCCATTGGCGAATATTTTGGCCTTCGGTCGAGGTTCAAGAGAGCATTGCTTCACCATCCAGGGATATTCTACCTATCGAGTAAGAATGGAACATACACGGTTGTCTTAAAAGAGGGGTATAAAAGGGGTTCCGTAATTGAGAACAGCCCTTTGATAAACATTAGAAATAAGTACCTTCACCTTATGAATACAGTTAAGGAAGACAGTAAAACAACAACCGAACAAGGCGGTACTTGTCAACAGAAGAAAGAGGAGAAAGAACGGTCAGATGATGCTACTCGAAAAGAGAACGAAGCTGAACTCCTCGACTCTTCGGACGAAGAAGCTGAAGACGATAGTAGTAATCTCAATGCCCGTGCTGATCGGAAAGAGGCTGCTGGTGGACGTAGGAGACATGTTGATTTCCAAGAAAATGTTGGTAGAAACAGAGTGAGATCATCGAAGAGAATGAACTCGACTTCGGGAAGGCCTTCAAGGGATGTTAAAAGAGAGAGGTCAAATAACAGTAAGGGATACCAGGTGAGGACGAAGGTTTAAGCTAGTTTTGCTTGAGCTAAGGACTCGTACTCTATTCCCAATCCCCCATGATAAGTTGAGATCCAAAGCCAAGTTTTTGATTTGGGACGAGAGAAGTGAAGCTTCTGGTGTTGTGGCACCAGATGCCTGGTTATTTGTCTGTTGTACTTCCAAATTTGGTCTCTCTTCTCACTATTACACTTGGTGAAGAGTTGTCTCAATTCACTACTTCATTCTTTCTAATTCACTTTGAGGTCATGGTTGGGAAACTGTTCTCCAATGGCTAGTATCATTTTTCAATCACTTCCAATTCAAGTATGATCGTTCCCAGTTTAATTTGACATGGATGAGGGGCCATACTCTCCCAATTGTACTCGGAAAATGGACAGAAGATTTCAGTATCTTGGACTTTTGAAACCATCGGTTTCTCTATCTTATCGATTCTAAATCAATGTTGGCCTTCCGAAGGTCGAAACCAGTCCATAAATTCAAGTTTTAGATTCCCATGTTGAAAGAAAAGAGTCGAAGATTTACATATGTAAATAAATTTTGTATTATTATTATATATGTTTTTTAGGGATATATCAAAGTTTGTATTTGTATAATAACATTGCTGACATTGGAGGAGTGGGGACTAACCTGTAACAATCGAGTCATGTGTATTACTTACAGTAACAACTGCGGAAATTTTGTTTAGAATATGAAAGGTACCTCGCAACAAGCAATCAAAAAATTGAAACGGAAGTTTGCAGAAATTACGGTTCTTTAAAGTCGCAAACTCCTTACAAAGATAAGAACCATGTGCCCCAAAGCCAAGTATCATCTGATGTTCGCATTTGCCAACTGGAAACTTGAGACTCTGTGAACATAAATATTAAAGCACCCTTTATTAGATTGTCAACAATTCGAGATTTAATGTCGAAAAATTCCTCACAAAAGTTAAAACAATGGGAAAGACGAAACGATAACCAAAATGCAGGTGTTCATAGGGTTGGTGATGAATTTGTTACCTATTTCTGATAACCCGGATGCTATCTAGAAGTTCCACTATTTGCTGCACCCTTGAATTTTTTTGTTTGTCCTCGCCTTCTAATAGTACTGTTGAAGCCCTCAGAACAGTATCGAGTTCACCTTCAATTATGTTTAGCTGGTTGTCCAGGTTTTCCATGAAGTCCTCATACGACGATGTTCCCTTCATACTGTTTACTATTTCATCTTCACTCCCTAAATCAGAGCATGAAGGGGCCTCTTGCTCACTGTCATTAGTTATCATTGCATGATCCTCTCCCTTAGATTGCAAATGTTGATATTCAGTAAGCTTTACATCTTTAGATTTGAAATCAGTTTCTTTTGAATCTTCTGCAGCTCCCTGCTTCGAAGAGGCAATTCGAACTGGACTTGAAGTATCTTCAGTTCTAATTGCCAGATCCGAATCAATATTCCCAATTAGCTGATTCTCTTTTACATATATTGCCTGAGAAAATCAAGTAGTTTCTCTGTCATTCCTAAAATTGAAGAACATATTCTTTGAGTATATGAACAAGAATAGGAAACTGTTCTAGCAGAAACAGAAAGGATGAGTGGGGAACAGAAGTGCCAGAGCTACTATAACAAAAAAAAAGAACCTCTATTTGCAATCGGCCCCCATTCTTAAGATTTATGAGGTAAGGATACATGCTGCCGAGTCCATGGCCAAACTGTACTCATTCTTGCACAAGTTGTACGAGAAGAGAACTAGTAATGTACGAATGAATTGAATGCCATCACAAGAACCGTTGTCTTGCAGTATGAGGACCGCGTTGGAAGGACTAGTTGTCTTGAACTAGTTATCATCCATTTTTTCATGCATATGAACAGAACTTGCAATCATACTACTACAAGCACCACTCTTCGTGTGATCCTTTGCCAAGATAAGCCACTTTTGAAATCACTCTTGATCAGAGCCACTATTCCGAATTCACGCCGTATTTGACATCTATCACTTGACAAGCCTTTGCGATATCACAAACGGACTAACACGAATATACAAGTCCAAGAATCGAACATATAGGGCATGGTGGTTCTGAACTTGCCTAATGACGAGTAAAACATGAATGATGCGAAAATTCACTACAAAAAATTACAGCTCAATCAGGTTAGTACTTCATTCTACCTCGTTAAGCTTTGCTGACAGTTCATCAAACAGCTTAATGCGACTCTTTGACTTCTCCAACGCTTGCATAACCTTCTTCTTCTGGAAAAGTAGATCCCTCGCGTCATCTTCCTTCCCTGTTCGTACGCTAATAGCTGCCTGTCGCCGAAGCTTCTCAGCTGCCTCCGACAATCTCAGAAGTCTCAGTCTTGCACTATTTGCTGAATCAACCACAATTTCATTCAAAATTCAGGCCATTGACATTGAGGCAAAGATAACAATAATTTTGTAGGTACTGGAGCCAGAAGGCGAGTAAATCAATTTGCACAGATTCTAAGATTTTAACAATGCACGTCGCTGCAGTCACTCATTACCATTTTCCAATTCAACGCTCGAACACGAACTCAAAGCAACACAAAATTCATAAAGAAGAAATCAAGAGCAATGAGAATGAAATTCGCATCTAATTTGGCTAAGATTATAGAAAGTAATTGCGGCAATATAGCAGGCAAAGGCATGAGAAGACCTTTGGCTCTTGTATTCTCTGCTTCAGAATGAAGGTGACTGAGTTCCTCGCGCAGCTGTTCCGTGCTGCTGGTGGAAGACGCGCGTATGGGGTTCGATAGAGGCAGGAGAGGATGCAGCTTAGCTATTCCAGCAGCAGAATTCAATATCATCTCCGTTTCTCTCTCGTCTTCCTCGATGCTCGAAGGCGAATTCTGTTAAAAAAAAAAGAAAGAAAGAAAGAAATATAGCAATAATTTTTTAAGAGAAAAAAAATATATAAAAGGCCGTCAAAATATAGCCCATGGACCACAAGAGGCCCAAATTTCAACCGTGCACGGTCCATATTCTGTGGCCCATTTTGTGTTTGTTCTACCAATCCGTACGGCCATATTTTCATGTTTGTTTCATGAATTCTTTATGCCCTTTCTGTGTACGTAAATTGTAATGAGGGGTTGGGATCATCAATTACCGTCTACTCGTTTTGGCTCCCACTTTCTTTGTTGGTGCCCTTACATAACAAAAATTATAACTTTTAAAATTTGCTGTTAACTCCAATGTTCTAACATCTACAACATTATCTAATAAGTGTCTACACTCTACACTTTTATAGTATAAAAATTAAAGTTAAACAATAAAATCTTATGTACGAAATTGAAAATTGAAAATTTTATTAAAATTTTTTGAAACTTATACATTAGAAGCTTATTTAGGAAAAGTGGTTTTAGGAATTGTTTCTGGATTTGGTAGGATGAGGGCATCATGAGTTGGGCCCACAGAAAGAAGACAAGAGGCCCATGATTTGACCAAAAGCCAATACCAAACGTTAGCCCATACCAACCTAAACCCAACAACGACCTCTCTCTCTCTCTCTCTCTCTCTCTAAAACATTTGAAATTGACTCCAAAACTCTATTATGTAAAAGGTGGATGAAATAGCATAATATGCAGAGACTCAAAAACAGTCAACAAACCTAACACAGCAGCAATCTACGGAGAAATATTTGACCCAAATTCATTAGTTTATATATTAACCCTAGTTTTAAATTCCATTTTAGTCCTAAAGTTTTGTTATGATCATACCATATTATAAATATTAAATAGACAAATAATGCGACCATATTTTAATTTTGAATCATCAATTGACACTTCATTTACTTGTTAATTGTGAAGGCAAAAAAAGCCACCCTCACTGTGTCAACTCTCTCCAATAAAATAGGCTTTTTTGACTATTCCCATCCCAACAAAACTAACTCTCTATCTCGTAATTCATTAAAATGTCTTGATTGGCGGGGCATGTGTCTCTTTTCATTCAAATTTCTGGAGGCATCATTATGCATTCATTGAAACTAAAGCTTTTAATATATCGCAGATATGAGATTATAATAATTATAATTTTTTTTACCGTATTAGAGTCAGTCAATATATTATAAACTACTCTATTACTTTCTTTAATTTATCTCATTCGTCATACAACTTACTAGCTACAACAAATGTACATACCAAACGAATTAAAAGTTGGTGATTTTGATATGTTGATTATGGTTTATAAGAGTGTTATATTTGGAATTAAGCTCTATAAATGCATTTATTAGTAAGGGAAAATTTTAGATAAAAAGTGACCGACTTGGATGATTGACCGATCAAGGAAATTTTATTAGTAACAATTTACCAGCATATTCATATTATACATTGTGCTTCCATATGTTCTTGTTACTTAAAAACTTGACCCACGTACCATGCACAAATAAAAATAAAAGAAAATAAATATTGCATTTCACAAAGTAATTTAATAATATGATTTCCAATTTGAGAAGACGAATCAGTTTTTTTTTTTTACCTACTCTAGCTATACAAATTAGAAAATAAGAATTACATTCAAAACTTTATTAATAATTATATAATAATTAAATCGGGATTAGGTGAATTTTATGATGATTTTAAAGGAGAATAATTGAAAACTAGAAGACTGATTCGGCCTAACATCATGACTGTGAGCTGATTACCACCTTGTATGATTTGTTCAAACACGTGTCCATGGGATGATGTAGTAACAGTGATTCGAGGTCTATTATCTACCCTGAAGTCTTGTATTCGAACTCTGCGATACTGAGTCTCGATTATAGACACGCAACACATACAACAGTTGTCTTGTACTCTCAAGTATTTCTACAACGGTATGGTATTATTCGCTTTGGACATAACTCTCACAGCTTTACTTTTTGTTTCACCTAAAATACGTCATATCAATGGAGACTTTGTTTCCAATCTCTTAACTAATCAATGTGGGAGTGTTTGCACAACTTGTAACCCTAGTTTCATTTCAAGGCTCTTATAATTGAATTTTTGAATGTTTTGTTAATTGAATATGTAGTGGTTAATTTTCTAGTTTGATTTTGAAAATGAAATTAATTTGATCACTTTCTTTTTAGTTCGATTTCACCATTTTTGAAAACATTAAAATTTAACGTTAAAATTGACTCAAATACAAGATATGAAAGTATATTATTTTTTTTTAATTATAAGGTTGTCATTTTTTCAATTATTTAAAATTACATGGACTTAAATGTGTCTTCTTCAATAAGTTTGACGAGTCAAACAAAATTTTTGAAATTGTAATTGATTTGAATATTTTGAATTCAAATTTTAAAAATCCTGGAAATTTTCTCAGTCACTAATTTTTGGTTTTTTTTTTTTTTGGTACACTGATATTACATCCCTAATATTAGAAATAATTTGAAAATTAGTTTACAAGGTTTCATATTTGGTGTTTGTTTGGCATCCCTTTTTAGCACTTCTATTTATTTATTTTTCTGAGTACCCTTTTTAGCACTTTTAAAACATAATTAGTTTAAGTGTTTCCCTTTACAATTTTTTTAAAAAATTTGTAACCGCTTATGATTATTAAAATTTAAAAAATTCAAAAAATTCTTTCATTTTCAAAAACATTTTTTACCCCTTTTAAAATTTTAATGGAACACTGCCAATTTTTAAAAACTCCTTTCAGTCACATGATTTACACAATTTTGAGACATATTTTGTTTTGTCAATAAAGGAAAATGAAATTATCGAAGTGGTGCACCAAAAATGTCAACAAAATCAAGCTATATGTATATCTATCCCTACTGTAAAATACTATATATATATCCCTACTTTGATTAATTAATTTTTTTTATCTCATGTTTCAAAATCTGACATTTTCACCAATTAGCTCACATTGTTGTCTCTTTACCCTTTTCAATAAAAAAAAAAAAAAGGAAAAACTACGTATATATCCATGTTTTTGTTTTATAGAAAGAATATGTGTGCTAAACCCCACTCTTGATTTGCCCTAATATTAGATATAGGCAAACTTCACATTGATCTTATGTCTCTTTTTGTTCCATAAGATTCATTCAATTGATCATAGTATAACCATTTCATGCTATTAATAAAAATTTAGATGGAACCATATATGTATAACCCTTTTCTGTTATAATAATCAACTAAACTTAAATATTGAATTGAGTTAGAGTACGTTTACTAGAACAATTGAATCGAGTATAAAATTTCTCTTTTGATAATCCCTCCACTTTATTTTATTTATTGTTAGTGAATTTATGTTGGTCATTAAGTTTAGGTTAAAAAATGATCTGAGTTGCGACTATATATATTTTACTTTTTTGTTTAACCATTCCAACCAAAGCATTAATTGTTCACCTAAAAATTAGGTAAAATAAACTAAGGGAATGATTTAATATATAGGCTACATCATACCATGAATATCATTTAATCATTTAAAATTAATGAGATAAAGAGAATTGAAACCATTGATTCATATCAACATATTATCAACAATCAAACTATAGCTCTTGATTTATATTAACATTAATAATGCATTAGGTTTCTTGAACACTAATTAAGCTCCTACAAATCAAATGAAGAAACATAATCTAACAATAATATTCCGAATAGTTGATGAGGTCTATTTAGTCATGTCCAATCAAAGTCAACTTGATTTGGAACCCCTCTTTCTTATCTCTCTTTTCTTTCACCCTTTTTTTCTATATTTAGATTAAAATACTAAAAAGCATATATAAAATCTTGGGTTTGGAATATTTTTAGTGGCCATAATAATTTGTTTTGTAGCATCTCCCTATAAACCAGCAAATTTATGTTGCTACACACAGAAAACTTTACGAATAAATAGTGAAACTCTATAATAAAAAAACAGAAATATTATTGAGTAAAGTAAAAAGAGAAAAAAGATTTTGATGGCGGTAAAAAAGGAGAAAAAGAGGATACACCTACGCCTAAAAGTTTGAAAAACCCTTTTTTTATATATATATATATATAACGAAAAATCTTTTAGTAACAAAACCGACAAGAAAATAAACGGTAAAAGAAAAACGAAAAAGGTTTAAATTAGGGGGCGAGAATAATGGGAATCGTGATTTTAAATTTCTGTGGGGTTATTGATGATAAGGAGATGACGTGAGGGTTAGATAAGGCAATGGAAGAAAGAAAGCGTTTTTGCGAAGAATTTAATTGAAATTAAAAAATAAAACTCCCACGTGCCGGAACAACGGTCAAACGCCGGTGCCGGTTTCGTCATACGTGTCGGGATAAGGCTTCAATTCTCAGATGGAATTGTTGACTAAATTTAAATTTTAAAACTTGGCTTCCATAAATATAATTATGACTGCGACTGCGACTCTCTCGTCTAATTTCTATCTCCATTCTCCAACCCATTTTCATATCATATATTCCAACGCCAACCCCAACTCCTTCTTTTCTTTCACACCCTTTTTGTCTTCCTCTTTTCTTTTCCAATTTCACCAAAAATTTCTCACATGTAAATTCATTTTCTGTTTTCTAATTTAGAAAAAAAATTCAATTTTTTAAACAACGAAGAGATCCTCAAGTATAATTTTTAAAACAAAAAACAAAAAATGCAATAATCATCAAACAGTGTCTAATGTTTTGTGATTTTCTTCTCATCTATTACAATGTAAAGTTTTTGTCCAAAATTCTGATCTTAATGGAGATATTATGTTCTTTGTTACATTTCATGAATTCTAATCCCAACATTCATTAGTGTCTATCAAAGGGTTTAAGAACTGCAGTAATTCCTATGATTAATTAATTATATACAATAGAGATTAATTAGATGGGTGAAATTGTTGATTATTATTGCTGTATTTGACTGTTGATTAAGTCTCTGTATATGAACTGTAAATGAAATTTATTGACCCAGTAAAAAACAGCCGATATCTTCTAGATCTAAAGCATGTAATTATTTTAATAATATAACACAATATTTTAAGCGGCCCGTCAATTCGATCATGTGTAATGAATTAATTAACAAAGAAAAAAAAAAGTAAAAGAGAGTGGAGAGTAACAAAAAGAAAACTAAACTAAAATCCAAACATCTCTCTCTCTCTCAAACCGCGGGGAAAAAAATAAAAGTTTTGGGAGCAAAAAGTTTTTGGGTTTCTTATTCGGAGCCTCAAAAGATCGAAACCCTAATTAATCGCTTTATTAGATCCTCTCCCTTTATCTTTTCTCTCTAAATTTTCATTTGTTTTTCCAATGTCAAATGATGAAGGCAAAAACCTGTACCAGCAGTATGATCCATTCCACTACAACCAGCTGGATATGAACCGTTCGATCTTCCATCAACAGGCGTTGGATCCTGCTTTCATGAGCTTCACTAACTTCTTCGACACGTCGTTGGACTACAACAGCCTTTCGAGGGCGTTCGACGTGTCGTGCTCTTCATCCGAGGTGATTTCTCCTGTGGACGACAAGTCGAAGAGCGGTGGAGTAGGAGGGAAGAGTTTAATAAAGCAGTCGTCGACGACGACGCCTAATTCTTCAGTGTCGTCTTCGTCAAATGAGGCAGCAGCGGCTGAAGAAGATTCATTCAAGAGCAACAAAGAGGACACAAAAGGGAGCGAGAATAATAAAGATGAGGAAAAGTCTAAGAAGCAGTATGTCTTTTTTCTTTTCTTTTCTTTTTCTTTTTGTTTTTGATTTGATTATGGCTGAATTGGAGGAGCCCATGGTGAAGATTACTAAGATTTGACTCAAAAAAATTAATATAATTTTGGTAAATAGGGTCATTAAAAAAAAAGAGTAGACTTTCCAAGCCAAGCCTTTTAATTGAATTATATTTCAACTGTAATAATAATTAATGTAGTTCTATGCATATTCATAATTCTCTGTGCATTATTTCAAGTGTTACACTAAATTAGTATCTGCTTTATCTTGAAATTAATCTGTAATTTCTTGATCATATATAATATATTGTGTGTAAAAATGAAGGGTTTGTTAGAGATGAATTAATATATAGAGGGTATATTATGTTGATTTTGATCAGGAAGATGATGTTGAAAAAGAAAGAGAAACGACAAAGGGAGCCCCGGTTTGCTTTCTTGACTAAGAGCGAGATTGATCACCTTGAAGATGGATATAGATGGAGAAAATATGGACAGAAAGCAGTAAAAAATAGCCCTTACCCCAGGTTTTAATTTTAATTTTCTCCCATTCAACTTTTAATTTAAATATTAATTTCCCATTCACATGATCTTGTTGTTACAAAACCATTACCTAGCTAATTCTGTGTTGTGTGTATAATCTAAATTACTCTGAATTTAGGGAGTTAAATATATAATGCTTCTCAATATATGATAAATGGACCCTTCTTCAAAAATATAATACCTGTTCTTAGTACTCCAACAAAATGTATCTTTTTTCATGTAGGTTTTATTGGTTTAATCCATAACTTTTGGAGTTGTGTGTGTATTTAAGTCCTTCCAACATTTTTTTTTTTTGATAAGTTTCCAAAAAGTTATTATATGTATTTAGTTCTCGTATAATTTTATAATTTTCAATTTTTGGTCTAATAGGTGACTTATAATTAATTTTGTAAGTTATTTTAATGTGTTATTTACATACACACACGTTGAGGATTATGTACAACATCAGCCTATTAGATAATTATTCTTAAATAATTAATACCACCTATTTTTCTTTAGTACGATAATTTGGGGAAATGGGAGATCGAACTTCAACTTTAATAGAAGGAATATATGTCATTTACCGTTGAGCTATGCTCATGTTGACATTAATATTGTACCATTTAAACAAAGTTAACAAAAAAGACGTATCAAGTACAAAATAGAATAGTCATTTATGAGCTTAATTAGAAAAATATGAAGTTCAGGGGCCTGAGTTCAAATTTAAACTTTTTCTCATTGATATTGATTTGTTTAATTCTCGATATTTATATTGATCTTCTATTCTATGATCTCATAGATTGTTTGATGTATTATTATATTACACCCTACAGAAGTTACTACAGATGCACCAGTCAAAAGTGTCTAGTGAAAAAACGAGTTGAAAGATCGTACCAAGATCCATCTGTGGTGATAACTACATACGAAGGCCAACACAACCACCATTGCCCAGCTACACTGCGAGGCCATTCTGTAGGAATGATGCCATCTCCGTTCTACGCCTCGGCATCGGCATCGGCATTGGCATCGGCATCGGCAGCGTCCTCCGGGCCCACGCTCCCCCAAGAACTCTTCTCTCATTTGCTTCCGATCACCAGCTGCCAAACCGACCCGGTCGGCTCGATGATGTACCAAAATCTAAATCTCCAGCAACACCTTCAGAACATGCCAGACCATTATGGCTTGTTGCAAGATTTGTTTACTGATCATCAGAAATAGGATCCTTAAATCTAGCTACTTTATGTAATGAGAATTATCTTCAGGTTCTGTATATTTTTCTTTTTCCAGCTTTGGAATGCCCTCTTGTATTAGGGTACACCCCATGGAGAGTTGAGATTTCTTAGTTTGTTATGTATATTTTAACCTATAATATGGAGGAGTCAGAACCTGTTCTTCGTCATTTATCATGCATATTTATACATATGTAAAAGACCCATTTTAATTTTCTCCAAGATTTTGATCTTGGAGGGGTTTTTTTATTTATATTTGTGAATATTTTCTAGATGAATATGTGCAAGACTCTTGCAGATCAGTGAAGAAGAAAAGAGGAGGCGATTGTTCTCCCACTGTTGGTCTAAGATTGAAAAAGTTAATATATTTTGAAGTTTCCTATCTTAATTTGTATCTTAAATTTTTATAATTAAAAAAAAATAGAACGTGAAGAAAAAATATCTACCACTAGATTAGGTTGCATATTTTTGAGAAATTTCAGAACATATTTTATTGTAAATATGGTCAGAAACTCTAGATTCATTATTACTATTCTCGAAGAAATTAATTAAGGTGCGTTGAACCATGTTTTATGTTCTAAGACAATTGGACAGAAATTTACAAGACAAAACGGACTGAGAACGTAAAACAAAAAAACAAAAAACAAAAATAGCAATATCATGAGTTAATGAATAATGAGGTAATAGTCAACTTGGCCGATAATTTATCCTTTTTTTTTTTTATGATTTTCAAATCAAATTCAAGACTACATGTCGGTTTTCTCACCAATATATACCTTACCCTTTGATTGACAGGGACTGATATGTTTGATTGATTCAGATCAAAGTTGGTTTTGTAAAGGCATATTAATTATTTTTGTGGACAAGCAGCTTTATATTGTTTGATCAAATTGAGAGGCGTTATTTTGTCCATAAAGCAAAATTTGTCCAATACTAGAAAATCATTTTACAAGGAAAATTCTTGGAAGGTGCAGATTCAAAGGAGGATAGGAGACCCCTAGTTGTTACAATTTCTTCTAGTTTTATATATGTCAGTATCGGTATTAAGAACACGTTCAGTTCGTCGATATCTCCATTTCATAGCTCCCTCCTTCTTTAGGATGTTGGGGTATCATCAATATCAAGTCCTGAGCAAGTGGTTAGAGGTATTTAATTAATAAAGATTGTTAATATTGGTTTGTAGTTTTTTTTTTCTTTCAGTAAAATAATGTTTTAACCGGTTAAGTCTTGTTTATGTCTGTTTATTCTATTCGTAGTTGAATCCTTCAAAATTACAGAATTCAAATGAAATTTATGAGTATTTGCCGAATCCCATTAAATAGCAACCAATATACTCTTGAATTTGTTCAAAATTTCAGTTAATTTTGATCAATTCAGGTTATGACCATGGATGATCCACACAGGTCTATTCAAATAGACCTAGAGATGAAGCATTATGATCAAAGTGGGTTGGTACTGGTCAAATTCACAATTTCCAACTTGGATTAGACAAATTTTTTAATTTTTTAAAATGTTGTCGACATTCCTTTCATATATATTTTAATGTATAAGATTTTTATATTATTTAGATGCTTAACTATAATAATCTCCAACTAAATCAATAGATTAATTATTATAACAAATGCATAGATATGCATGCCTCAACATGCCATGCATATGTTTCGTATAATAGTTATCTATTCATTAAGATTAGAAGTTGAGGATCAATTAATTGGGCATGTCTTTCCAGATTGGTATTTTAATGAAAAAAAAAAAACAATCAAGTGATTGTTCTAAAAGTAATTAAAATTTTCAAAAACTTAGCTTTTCTAGACATTCAAAAATAGTTAAAAACATACCATATAAACCCTAAAAAATCAATAAAGATCGGATAATTTTCATATATAGAAGTTGGTTCTTGATGAACTAATTGTCAACATGATGAGTTTTACTGGACGATTAAGGCGTCTTGTTCCTCCTCTAAAAGTCGAAAATTCGACATCTTACATTAGTTTACTGAAAAAATAAATAAAGAATTAATTATGTAGCTAGGGAAAGGTTGTTATAGAATAGACATTACGAACTTGGACTTGGCTGAAATGAGCTAAATTAAGAAGGAAGGCATCAGGTGGAGTAATTGGATGGGTTGACTTTTTGCAACCTGTTTAATGACAAGTTTCAAAGGTCAACCTTACATAAATTATTGGAAGTTGTGTCTTCCATGTAACGTTACAATGACATCAAGTTCCTAGTTTCTTAAATGTAAATGTGACCTGCAAATTAATAAGTGATATGGAATATAATGGGTGACAGATATAATACTCGATTATTCTTGCACCTAAGATTATCTTGTTTTAATCAAGTTATTATACATATATTAAATATAGTATTAGATTCCAACCATTTTAAACGAGCCACCATCTTGTGAAGAAGAGGTATATTAAGAATTTCACATCGAAAAGATTAAAGATCTAACAAAGTTATATGCACTAAGTCTTTCATTATTGTTAATTGTTTTGAGACCCACCCAATGAATTTGTTGATCATATAGTATTGGGATTCATCAAACTCAGAAGGATCTTATAAACTACATGAGCTACTCTTCACCTCATCAAAATCAATATAGAAATTTCATTATAATTTTTTTACTATTAATTAATAAAAAACTACATTAATAGTTATTTTTAATTATCAACGAGTAGCTTAATTATATATTTTTCACATAATCTTAAACATTTTTAAATATCATATTATGATCCACAAAACCACATCATATTTAAGAGTTAGATTAACTAAGAATGGAAGCATTATTTCATGAAGTAAAAGTGAGCATTTAATAAATTAGAAGGAATTAAGCATAGTTATTCGAGAAAGTTGATTTAAGGTGTGTTATTTTCATTGATAATGTTTGGCAAATTAAAATTTTGATTTTAGGAAAGTTTAAGATCACTTATTCAACATGCAGAGGGACATCATTAGTTGAAATTCATCCTTAGAAAAATTTGAATGACATGTTTGACTGTCAAACTACTTTAAAGGAGTGGAAATGAAATGTTTGACTTGGAAGCTAATTTGATATCAGTAATGTTCATCTACCTAATCCCAATACAAATATGAACAGCTAACTACATTGCTGCAAAAGTAGTTAACAGATCTTGCTTACACACCTTTCAAAGTTTGGCCCTTGAAGCCAATTGACCCACCCAATACTTTGATTTTTTATTATGTGATAAATGTGGTGGTTATAAGTCAACTAAACTACCCAATAGCATATTATTTGGAGGAAAAATTAAAAAAGAGAGAAGATTAAGAAGATAATATTAATTTTGCCACGCGAAGATTAAAAAAATAACAGAGTTGAAGTATTATATAATCAAATTTGTGGAGACCGTTGAGTTATAGAGTGAAACGTTAATTTTTGTAAATTGAAAATTTGAAGTTTATACAAAACAGATGAATAGAGATAACTAAACATGAAATGACTCATAAGTCGAGAAGGACCAACAAATTCAAACAAAAGTGACCGACAAGTTTTTAGAAAGGCTTTAAGGAAACTCATGTCCTTTCCTAAAAGACCTCTTAATTGTTCCGAACATTTATGTTTGGTTCATAATTTTAACATGTCTATAATAAGATCGAGTTGATGTATCATAGATTTAATTTGCAAAATTAATTATGTATATGAAAATAAACAAAACTAACACACCAAACATGGACACAAACAAAAGTCCTTATGGAAGAAAATAAAATAAATAGAACCGCAAAATATTATAGTAAGGAGAAATGTAATTAGTAATGAGTTAACCTTTGGAGACAAGACATCATCATGGGATCTCACGGAAATTAAGGAGAGGGAAATGATATTAAAAAGAGGTAACCCAATCAAAGCGAAAAAGAAGATAAAAGAAAATAATAAATGAGAGTGGCAGAAGAATAGCAGCAGCCCAATGGAGTAAGCTTTATTCTACTGCAACAAAAAGCAACACCGCACCCATTAAAAAGAAAAAGAGAGAGAGAGAGAGAGAGAAAGAGACAGAGAAAAAAGCCATCCAAAAGGTTCTGCTTGTTGCTTCAACATTTTGATGCCTTCATTTAAAACATAGAAATTAAAATAAATTCTTCAAGAAAAAATAATAATTATAATAACAAATGGGAAGTAAACCAACAAAACAATAAAAAGAGAGTTGTGTGTTCTCTCATAAAGAAGAGGGGATGGCAGAAATTACAATCATGTGAAAGAGGAGATTATAGAGCAAGTGGCCTCAACCATGTCTGCAAAACAATTTTTTTTTTTTCTGTCTCTCTCTCTCTCTCTCTCTCTCTGTCTACTAAATTTTATCTTATCTAAAAAGGGTGCTCACCTTTTTCAATCCCCAGTGCAGTGATATGTACTCTATGAAACAAATGGACCATCATCAGCCATTCAACTGCTCGCTTCTTTTCACATGGGAAAATTTCTCCAATCCTTTCAAAACCTTCCTCATCATCCCTCATGCATTTGCAGCTCTGCTTTGCGATTCCCCTGGTTTACTTCCGACCTCGGCTTGACCGGAGATCTCTTTCGTGGATTCAATCTCTGTGCTTGTTGTACAGCTCTTTTGGCTCCTCCGATCCTGCAAAAGAATTGTGTGTCCTAATTTCAAGTTTCTCAGAAGAACGAGAAATGGTCTATAATGGCATGAGTTAAGAAGGGTATGTTTGTGCAAGAAATTTAAGTTGATGGTTGACACCTAACGGAAACATCAATCATAGCTTCAACATGAACTATCTTGGCCCAAAATCTTTACTCAATGCAAAACGTTACCAGAGATGGATAGTTCATTGGCCATTGTGGAGCAACGCTCATTAGCCATTTGCTACATTAGTTAGTGAAAGAATATAACTAATAAATTGCTTGATCAAGGACATGTACTACAACAAGAATCTGTAGCAATTTTAACTGAGCCATAGCATTGCAAGAAATATCATTTAGGAGGTAGGAAACAACAATATGATTGATTATTTCAGGTCACACATTTCATTGATACCTACCTCACGTGATGGGTAGTCATCAGCTTCAAGCATCCTAACAACTTGAGTCATTTTTGGTCTCTTATCTGACTCAGGATCCACACACCTAAGTGCAATCAGAAGGGCACGTTTCAAAGCACGTGTAGCGGGTTTAGTTTCAAGATTTGGGTCTATAACTTCCTCGGCTCTCCTTGTGCCTACCATCACTTTTAACCACTCAACAAGATTAACCTGATGAATCAAGTACATAAGCCAATGTAAATTAAGAAATTATATGTGCACCATACATAGAGTAGAGGGATTTATTCTGACTTCTGATGAATGCCCAAATGAAACAAATAAACAGTCTTAGTTCAGAAGTACCTCGTTAGCAGGACGGCCATAGTCGACAGGATCTCTTCCGGTAATTGCTTCTAGAAGAAGAACGCCAAAGCTGTAAATGTCACTTTTCTCATTTAACAATCCAGTGTTGGCATATTCGGGTGCCACGTAGCTGGGTAAACAGAAAAAAGACAACCATTAGCTCGTAGCTGAAAATGTTTTATCACAATCGGTTATAGAATAGAATGAAAAATGACACATACCCAAATGTTCCCATCACTCTAGTCGTGATGTGACTCTCTCCTGCATCCAAAAGTTTGGCCAATCCAAAATCTGAAACCTTTGCATTAAACTCGTCATCGATTAGGATGTTGCTTGATTTTATGTCTCTATGGACAACCTTTGGTTCAATTGCCTCATGTAAATATGCTAGCCTGCATTCAATATGTGACATTAGTTTCTACTTCGGAGAAAATAAACTGGGTTCGACATTCTCAAGTTTAAAATTTAGATTCTGGGATAACTATGTGCACCATCTGAGAAATTCCCCATAGTAGGTAGTCATTTAGAATGATGAAATTTCCAAAGATGGGACGTGCAGAAAACTGCAGGGGAAGTTATTGTTCAAAACAATACGGTAGAGGAGCAAGGTTTGCATATACCCATTATTATACAAATCACTGGAAGAATGAATTGAGATTTAATGAGAACTGAAGCACAGAACCGTCAGGTCTTCAGAAACCAATATATACACATATATATAATAAGCGTGCATAAAAATATGTAAGTTATCGTTACTTACGCCTTGGCGGTGCCAAGAAGCACCTTCATTCTCGCCTCCCAAGTAAGGGTTCCATGTTGGCGCATAGCCCCATGTAACCATTGTTCTAAGTTGCCATTGTTCACATATTCATAAACCAGCATCCTGTACAAGTAAAAACGACAAAGCCATTTTCATATAAAAAGAGACTGAAAAAAGTGAACTGAAGACATACTGACAAGGTAAACACTTATTAAGCACGTCATGTACTACAATGGTAGTTCACCAGTAGGGTAAAAATGATAAGGGAAGGAAATGATAGGTTAAGAATAGTACCTATGAACTCCTTCTATGCAATAGCCCAGGAGCCGTACAAGATTCTTGTGTCTTACATGGCCAATGGCCTCCACTTCAACTCTAAATTCTTTCTCTGCTTGTCCCCTATAAAGAAGCAACTTAAATTTTAAAGGCACAATAATCATTGATATAGTTTTACTAATGTTTCAAACCACTAATTCCTTACAGATTATTGAGAAGTTTCTTCACAGCGACCTCAGTTCCATTTATCAGTCTACCTTTATAGACAACCCCGTAACCTCCTTCACCAAGCACATTGTCTGGGGCAAATCGATTTGTCGCAAATTCCAGATCTCTGAGTGTAAACCAATGACCCCAACCAAGATGCGAAATTTCGGGCAAGCCAACAAGAGGAGAGGCAGTCACAAGTCCTCCATACCCTCCATACGTTATGGAAGACTGCTTTCTAACAGTCCCAGAGCTTCCTTCTTCTCCTGAATGTGAGCTGAAAACCCTTTCGTGATGATAATTGGAGCTGCATTGACTTATATTATCAGGGTCGCTTGATTTGCTCATACCCAAATGGCCAATCATCTTCTCTGAGTTTTTCTCACTAGATTTATCATGAATGGAAAGATAAAGATTCTCAAGATGATTGTGGTGGGCAGATTGAGTCGCTATTCTGTCCACCTTGATGTCCTTTGAGACATTTGGTATTTGAGAAACAGAAAAGTTTTCTGGGGATCTCCTTGTTTTTCTTCGAGACATCACCCATACGGATAAGATACCGAGAATCAAAACAATAAATGCAGCAACGCATAAGCAAATCAAAACCCATAAGGACAAACCAAGGAAGGGAGTTTTCTTTGACAATTTCGTATTCAAAGAACTTCCGGATGACATAGCTGATGGTCCGACCCTCTAGATGCCAAAATTTTGAACTGGGTCGGCCCCCTAAGTTCCAGCCGCAGATAAATCAAGACATTACGACCTGAGAATTAGAAGCGAAACATCATGCAGTCTCAAATTATAGGTAAAAAATTCCTGAGAGAGCTTAATATCAGTAGCACAAGTTACTAAAGTTCATTTCTAATTTGACAGTCACTTAAAACACAAATTATAACACCAGAAACATTCTCCAAAAATTGCAATATTCTTCCCGAGTTCACAAAATATATTGCAAAAATCGAGAGAGCAGAACAGAAAAAAAAGGGAAAATAAGACGGTTAAGGAAGATACTTTACATCTGCATTGGGCATTCAGCTGGATTCTATTCTTTCCCAAACGAAACCCAACCGATACTTGTATGTACAAGTCATGATGACGAAGAAAGCAAAATAAATTCAATGTCCCATTATAGAAGAAAACCCAGAGTAATGAACCCACCAATAGCGAAATCAAAAGGGTCTAAATCTATCAAACAAAAGGGAATAAATACGTAGAAGGCATCACTTATGATTCAAGTAAAAGACACAAAAGAGAAATGTGAATAAATTAAATAAAGCGAGGAAAGTGGTTCAAAGTAGAAAGCATTCATCCACCTTTCAACAGATCTAGCCTAACCCCCTTGATCTTCCTCTTTAAGATCCCACAGAAGCAGAGAAAGGGCTTCTATTTTAACCAACGGGGACCCAATAAGCATAGATAGCCCAATATCGACCTGAAACAAAACTAGACCCTTCAAACACCAGATTCCCTCGGGGAACACGGCGGGCGAAACAAGCCTGTAACTAAGGGGCTAGCGCCCTCAAGGGGTCAGGAACAATTTAGGGAATGGTAGAAGAAAATGCAAGATAAAGACCAGACAAAAAGCTAACTTCTGTGAGAGAGAGAGAGAGAGAGAGAGAGAGAGCGAGAGAATCTACAAAGAAAATGTAATGGGGAAAGAAAATTTGGGTAAATGGGTATGTGAGAATGGTGGGTTTGTAAAGAGGAAGCTGAAAAGGAAGCTTGGGTTGCAATGGAGGACACCGGAGATGGGAAGGAGGAAGAAGAAGAAGGGTGAATAGGATAATGGCACAGCACTTATAGCTGGGTAAGAAAAAAACATTGAATATGCAGCGAAGGAACAGTAATTAAGAGAGAGAGAGAGGGAGAGTCAACCCAAGTGGAGGGACTAGAAATGCAGCTGGTTTTTGAGGGCAGATCGGAGTGGGAAGGGAAATTGGAAAAGAGAGTATATGGTAACTTGGCCTGGAAGCTCAGAGAGAGATCACAGATTAACGTGGCGATGCCACACAAATTGACAAATTACCACACAATCGAATCCACGGGGAATAATCATAGCCTCTAGGATTAGCCGATTGCCTCATCGTAGCGGATTCCAATGGGAGAATTGCGGGAGACGGGGGATTAAATTGAAAAACAAACACAAAATTAAGAGAGAAAAAACGAAGAGTGAGATACGGAGATGGGCGTATAAATGTAATAAAAGGGCAGTTTGGTTATCGTCTTTTTTATTAATTTTTGGTTGACGGCTTTTACCATGTAATTAATTATTCCTTTTTCAAAGCCGAAAAATTCGATTAAAAAATTAAGATCTCTAAAAACACTCGAAGACAAGGATTAGATCCCGCAAAAAAGAGGTTAGCACTTCGAAAGTTTTATGAGGATAAGAATCAATATGCAACGTCAGCTTAAACTTTTGGGTTGGGTTGAGTGGTATTTTATTCATCCTTAACATAGTATCAGTCATGTGTTCGAACACCTAGATTGTTGTTTCCTCCCCATTTATATTGATTTCCACTGTGAAAAGAGTTGTACACCATGGGTAATTCGGTAGGGTAAGAATGATGTTCTCTTTTGGTGAAAAAAATAATTTATAAGATAATAAAGAGGTTTTAATTGAAACCAAATACATATAATGAGATTGTGATATTATGCTGTTTAAAATTAGAATAGAGTTCTTAATTCCATGTTAGTTGAAAAGTATTTTGGAAGCTAGAGGAGTAGGAGGGAGGATAAAAGGGATAAAAGTAACTGCAAATTAGGGTTATAAAATGGGTTAATACCTTTCTTTCTATCAAGAGATGATACCATTTTTAATAAGTAGCCGAAAATATCAAATATAACAAATTATTTATAATGAACACCCACGTAGATTAGTTAATGACAGAAGGAAAATTCAATCAAAATTTTGTTGCGATCAAAATATTAAGAAATTTAGAAATTTTACCATTTATTTCTTTTGAGTGACTTGCAAATTCATGAACCATAACTTTCGACAACTTAATTTCGAGCATAGCTCAGTAGAAATTGACATATACTTCCAATCAACAGGATAATATTTGACTCAGTGGTGAGGACTAAATCTTATCCTTAATTTGACAATTCACTTTATTTAGAAAATAAATATTTATTTTTGCATTCGTCTCTCTTAATTGTCAAATACTAAAAATGGTAATGACAAGATTTAAGTAGCCAAGTATTTTTCTTTTGTTAAAGTTAAAGTAAAACCTTACAAATAATTTTAGGGGTTACCATATAAATTTCTTGATCTACATTCTTATTCACTCCAATCTTGATCATCACTGTTGACAATCTTATTCACTCTAATCCGATCGAGGTAGTTTCGCATATATATATATATATATATATATACACACACACATCCCGTCAAGAAAAAAAGATGAATACATATATACACATATATATTGGTAAATGGGCAACCCATAAGGAAGTGACTCGTGATTATCTTACAAGAAGTCAAAAGCAAGGAAGAAGAAATAATAAATTATGACAAACATGGCAATAATGGTAGATAAGGAAAGAAAATTGGTAATTAAAATAAAATATCATTTTTTAAACAGACCAAAATTATTCCCTGAAAGTATTAGGGTTTGTTTAACTTTAGGTAACTTTGCCTCAAAAAATAAAAATAAATAAAATTAGGTAACTGGATTTGGATGAGCAGAGAAATGACGGCCACTTGAGGGAAACGGGTCATCCAGGGAGCAGCAAGCATCGGCTGTTCTTTAAAGATGGGCCCTCATGTGGGCCTCTGGGTCCCTCCAACTCTGGCCCAAATATTTTGCGCAACCAGTAACGGTATACTACAATTGTCGGTTCCCCTTCATCTACTTTATTTTCCCCTTTTACTTCTAAAATTTTGCCAAGATTCTGTCACAAAAAAAGAAAAAGAAGCCTAATTATCATCCTATTATATTCAATCAATCTCATAAAAAATATTCAACGCTGCAATTACCTTCAATTGTTCTACCAACGAACGAGCAGTTCGAGCCTGTGTTAAAAAAATCATAAGCTCAATTAATATTGAACACGACGCCCGTAAATATATTGCTTGGAATCAATTAATAACCAAGTCAATCGCCAAGTTGTAATTTAAAATCCGTTGACAATCAATAACTAATATCAAATTCTTGACCAACAGAACACCACAAGCTATCGTCTCGGAAAGAATTCTAAATACTGCCCAAAGGTATCTTACTAACTAAAAAAAGTTACATTTCTGTAATTTTTCACGTTCCAAACTTGTGAACTCCATAAGATCTCATAAGAACTCTTAACATCTTGTTACCACTTACCATTGGCCATTTTTATACTCCTAGTTATGGATGATGAGATATGTACCAAAGAAATACAATACCCCTTTCTTTCTAATTCCATAATATATCCAAGAATATTTTGAAAAGTTTGCAACAGCTACTCCTGATTATGATCAAGGATAACAAATATACAAACTTATAGAAGGAAAGTTACGATTGAACAGTAGAACTACTAGAATACCTTATGAAGGGCGGAGTACCTCGTTCAAAGCAGTTGTCTCTGAATTTAGGAGTTACTTATCCATTCATTTGGAATAGATGATTTGAATATGTTGAGAAGCAACGATCTTTCTCTCTTGCTTAACTTGTTTACGCCATGGGCATGAAAATAACTACCATTCTTAAGTGCTTTTCGTCCTCTCTCCATGCTTCTTTTTCTCAAAGCTGTCAGTAAGCGAGTCCCCGGAAGATCAGCTTGGAGATCCTCCTCTATACTTTCAGATTTCTCTTGGTCTATTAGAGAAATGGAACCATCAGCTACAACGTTTTTGAAGTTATGTTTGGCATCTTCTTCATTGTTGGTTTCATCTGGAGCACTACTACCCCACCATTTGTTTGATAGAGATGGTAATCCACCAGAGGGGAATCCATACTTGAACTCATTCAACATCGTGGATCCTTGAACCAAATTTGTGCTCTGAACATGCTGAGGACGCCGCATCTGTGCGTTAATGTTTCCTTCCTGTTGCTGCAGCAAGCTTTGGGGCGCACCATTTAATTTGGACATTTTGTTGTTCGCTTGCTGGTTAATGCTGTGTAGGATGATAAAAGTGAAGGTGAGCAAGAGAAATAGAAGTTGATAGTTTATACATGTGAAAATCAAAATCCAACTATACAACTATCACTCTAGAACTCCATAGTGAGCAAAAATTTATTCCACTGATATATTCGTCCAGAAAAAATTTTAAAAACAAATGAAGACAGAAAGAATTGTTAACAGCAAGATCAGTGACACAATTACAGCCAAACATTCATGAGCTAACATAACTTCTGAGAATTGTTGAACCCAGGAAGATCTCTCATGTAAATGATAACTTCAGTTTAAAGAAAAGAGCAGATTGATTTTGAACTAAACCTATGAACAACTAAGTATATGCTGCATAGATCTTTCATTGTATGTATAATAAAAACGATAGCAAAGAGATTAGTGCCCATCGTATTCTAAGTTCGTTACACTGAATTACTAACAATTCGATATAGTATCTGATGCAGTTATACAACTTTTTTGTAATTATAGAATTTCCTTGATTCATGCCAATTGAAAGGCTTCTTTGTAACCCGTTGGTCTTTCCTCTTATAAAAAAGAGTGTCTGAAGCATATGATGCAAAAGCAAACATATTGTATTTCATGTTTATCCAAGAAAAACAAACTCTCGCTCTTACATTAAGTGTAACAAAGAAACGAAATAGAAGGACCTATTTCATAATGACCATCGACCAACGAACAACAATCGGAAACCGAGCTTTCTCCAATTTCATAACAAGTCGTGGAAACTTAGAGAAACTTAGTAGAGAAACTTAGAGAAACACAAATGAAATTATGCCAAATACAAACATCAGACCTCACATTTCACAAGTTCTTCTACTTCGGATTCCTCCGGACATGGCTGATGACAACTTAAAGAGAACAAAAAGAGGAGAAACAAAAGCAAAAGTGTAGTCTAGTATACCTTGTTGGGCGTTGGGCAGC